CCGCCACTAGAGATCATTATGGTCCTGTCCTGTGTTTAGCTGTTTGTTGTGCTTTGGTAATTGTATTAATGCTCTTCCGATCACAATCGGTCTTCAAAGAAATTGCCACGTTTGTATCCGATTATGGTTAATTTCCATTATTCAATTCAGAATCCACGGTCCAACATTCCTCTGTGTTCAAGAAACTACACTTTGGGTAGGTCGTGATGATGAGATCTGTATATTGGTTTTTTGACTAATCACTATGAGTTGATTGACGTCTGAATGGTTAATGAGATAATCCAACAGGTGTTCTATATTGGCATTACTAAATCTAGGAAATGTATGGTTCAATCTAAATAGTGGTTGGAGCGATTCGATAGTTTTTAGAACAGTTGATATGATGATTGGAGACCGAATATCAAAGCATTAACGAATCTTATTTTATGCATTTTTCGAATCTTAGTTTACTCATTAGACTCGCAGATCGTTATTAGCCCAACACCATAACTTATTTGCATTCCTATGATACAGCCAAGTGAAAATGGCAAATGAGTCGGTCGTTCAACGAGAAGATGAGAGCAAATGAAAACTAGTACGTTTTTCAACATATACACACAATCATGCATGTTAAACTTAATGGAGCAGACTAATCAGTGAAAATAAATCGAAATCAGAAGAAAGCAAACATCCACGTCTTATAAGTTATATCTCAGAGAGTAACATCATCCAACAGAAAGCTAAGGAACACACCAAGTGGGTCACGGCACACACGAAACCACAGTAGAGAGCATACTGTATTATTTATATAATAACATAAGTCACCCTGATGATAGAGAAGAGATCCCAGAATCAGAAGCACATTTTCTAGGTTTAGGCTTCCTTCTCTCCTGTGAGGAGATCCATAACCACGCCTTTAATGCTTCCGTTGTTCTTCTTCAGCAGCCTCTTGTTCGTCACATCATCACAGAAGCCCTGCAAAAATCACATTTTCAGCATCCCTATCTGTTATCAACCTTTTAATTACAAAGCGCACACTTACCATTTCCTGTAGCTCCTCTAGGATAGGATCCCACTCGCCAACTCCACAAAGCGCATCAACAGATTGCTCCAAGTTGTACTCGTTGTCCCTCAAGACCTCCTTGTTTAAATCGATCTCCTTGAAACCCATTTCCTCGAGTTCCTTGAGCATGGTTATCTCGACATCATTCTTTTCTATATCTTCTTCGAGAGGAACTGGGATGTCATTTGTGGATGAAGAACCACCACGCAAGGCCTCAACAGTAGGCATATTTGTTAGCTCGATAATGTTGTATGATGAAGAAGATGAAGTTGAAGGAGTATGAGTAGAATGAACTTCACCAACCAGCGGCTTATCTTTTTCGAGGTTTTGCGATTCATCAACTACTTGTTCTATACCAGCACTTTTCACTGTCCCAGGATCAACATTGGAACTCCCATGTTGAGCTGACTCATAATTCACTTTGATCCCTGCAAATTCTGTTGAACAGTCTTCATCAGGGGAGGCATTCAAGTTCAATCCATGAAACTCATTCACAACAGAACACTTTAAGCCTGCATCAACCTGACCACACAACCAAAAAAAAGGTGTCAAATACATCTGATAGAGAGAAACAAAGATCCAAGGAAAGAAGCAGCAAAGTTATTGCAAGTACATGTATCAACACCCAGACACGTTGCCCAAACTTAGCACCATTAGAGGAAGCCATCCTCCAATAAGAAATGTATCGACCAGGTGACTCTGGTGCAACAAAATCCACTTTGACATCAACTTCACTGTTCATAGGCACACCTTCCTTTGGAATCTGCCATGAGTGCCAAGACCAATAAACAACTAGTATTAAATAAGTGAATAACGTCTGTGCAGAGAAGAAGCCAACTCAAGCCAGTGAGTGGTGATTTAATCAACATAACTGATTTGTAAGTGCAACTTAGTGGAAGGAATCAAGCAAAAGAAGTGACAAAGCTAGGGAAAAAGGTTCTAACCTGTAAATCAACTGACAATGAGTTGCTGAACCTGTCCCCACCGATCCAGACTATCTGTGTGCCATGGGGCCATACCAACGAACCATTGTTCCTCATTCTCCAAATCTTAGTGAATGGAGCAGATGGAGCAACAACTGTTCCATCAAGTACATTCACATCAAGGACAAAGCGACTGTCTAGTTTAGGCCTAGTACACCTGAAAGGTAAACCTCCATGGGGAGGTCGTGGGACTTGGTGGCTCAGCCAAGGATTCGTAAACTATACGTATAAAAAGAAAGGTAAGAATTTCATATAGCCATCAGAAGTAGAAAAATAAAAAGAATCTTAAACATAGTAGCAGAGCAATACGTGGGTCAGTTGTCCTCTAAAAGGATGCATATGTTGAACTGAAATGGGCTTATCCATTCTTGTGTAATCCCCCTCATTACCCATCACTGAAAAGCAGGTGTTGCAAAGATCATAGTCTTCTTTGCTGCAAGAGATTAACCAGAGAACCAAATGAGCAAAAATAAGTTCTAACACGTCATATCTACAGTTGCAAGTAAAAGACTTCCTTACACTTTAGACTTGAATCTAGGACCAGTTATTGGAATAACTCCACATCCATCACATTGGATTCCCTTATGGAACACACCCAATGAGGTCCAATAATCACCATTGCTGCTTTTTCTCGAATGACATGCACGACGGCCCTGCCTGTTGAGGTCATTCACCATACCGCCACTAAAGGGGCATTCGTTGAAGCTAGCACCCAGTCCAGAGGACGTTGATCCATGACCAAAACCTTTTGGATTTGCAGTGGCAGTTGGTTCATTCAGATTAGCAGGGTTTCCTCCAGTCTGGGTCTTCTCCTCCCTGGTCAGAGAAGGTCCTGAAGAAGCAGACTTAGTAGTAACAGGTGAGGAAGGATTACTTTCCTGAGGAATTGAGAGCTGGCCTAACTTGGAGATGCAATCAAGCATCTCACCAACTACAGGACTAGAACATGCGGCTTTAGCTGCAAGGTCCATATACGCCTTGGATATGGTATCACGCATCGGGTTAGGTACAGCCATGAGAACATCATTGATACCTTTTTGGATTTTGGAAACAGGGCTTTGGCTAGTAGGCATCCCCGCAGATGTTGAACTCCCACCACTACTCTCTGGAGCATTAGAGTTTGTGGGCATACCAGCGTTTGAAAGCACGTTAATTTTCAAGAACTTAAGGCGCTGATTCGTGACATCGAACAAGTCATTATCGTCAACTAGGGCCACAACATCCCCATCTTCATCAGAGTAAGTGAGAGAAAAATCAGCATCGACAGGGAGGTTAAAGAGAGCAGCGATCTTTTCCCTAAGAGCAGCCATGTCAAGATCAAGCTGTCCATTAGATTTAACAGGAACTCTGAAACGCCTGAGCACGCCTCCATAGCTAACCTGCATATGATCACAAACAAAGAATATGTCAATTCAATGAAATAAACAAACCATACGATACTGGACTGTTGGCAAGTAATTAAAGAAAACAAATTGAAAGAACAAAACAAGCTTAAGCGGCCGAATCAAGCAGCTAAAATACTAATTTCAAAAACATCTTCTGATTTCGGATACGATTAACAGTGGATCCGTATTTTTAGTCTTCCTTAGGGTTTACACTTGTAGCAGGGAGATTTCGAGTTACAAACAGTTGATCCGTAGCCAAATTCAAAACGATTACAAACAGTGCTAATAAATCTCATAAACCTAGGTTTAGAACCGAAAACAAAGGGGAAAAAATCGAGAGAAACGGGACGATAGGCCAGAATCAGCGATGAAGAGGCGATCTAACCTTGACGACGAGTGCAGCAGTGGAGTCCATGGCGAAGAAACCCTAAATTCCGAAAAATCGACGAGAGAGAGAGAGAGGGAAGGTGACTGAATGATAGTAAATAAGAGAGAATCAGGAATTGGAAGCGTACCCGTAATCCGCTTTTCTCGTAAACAAGCCCGATACGGTCGCGTTTATATACCGAACGAACGATTATTATTTAACCTCCTCATTTAATTATTATTGACTTAGCCTACAAGATATTGACTTTTTGATTCTTGGCTTATCCAGAAAGATATCCAACTCCAAGGATTTTTTTTGCTTTTTGGATTTGGTCGATGAGAAGAGAAGATAGAAATTTGAGAACGGGTTGGAATCATTTTGTTAAGCCCATCAGAATTAGGCCCAACGACTAAAAAGAAAATGAAAAATATAATGAAATATTTGTTACGAGGAAAAAAAAAAAAATTAAGTGTCAAGCATCGTCTATATAG